GGGTGAATAAGCCGACTCACAGTGAGTAATCTGAGTCACAATGAATAACCTGACTCATAATGAATAACCTGTCAAGACCAAAGGAGCAACTGATGTCCCAATTTCACAATCTCCAGCACAAAGATGACGCAGATTACTTATTATTCCCCGGCGAAGATTGTAGAAATCGAAATGCCAATAACTCATCTTGTCTTGTTAGGGGAGGCTTCCGTGTAGACCTTTCTCAACGTGGGCTTTTGTAGGTCTTTGGTTGTGTGGCTGTTTGTGTGTGGCGTGTGGGTGTGGGGGGTGGTTGTGTGTGTGTGTGTTTGTGTGTGTGTGTGTATGTGTGTGTGTGTGTGTGTGTGTGTGTGTGTGTGTGTGTGTGTGTGTGTGAGAGAGAGAGAGAGAGAGAGAGAGAGAGAGAGAGAGAGAGAGGGAGAGAGAGAGAGAGAGAGAGAGAGAGAGAGAGAGAGAGAGAGAGAGAGAGAGAGAGAGAGAGAGAGAGAGAAATGAGAGTATGTATGTATATTTGAGAGTATGTATGTATGAGTAGGTGATGTGCATATGCATATTAATGCGTGAGTATAAAGTGGCACTGACCTTTGTTTGGTACCCCCACACAGTGAGACAAATGTTACCATGACAACATACATGACTAACGTAGTCATTTCTCACTGCACACCATATATACTTTAAAAAAAAAAAAAAAAAAAAAAAAAAACATTTGACAAGGAAAGCAATCTTTGGGAACATCCTTAAACATACAAGTGAAAATACATCTGAAAAAATCAGAAAAAAAAACAGAGCAATACAATCTTTTAAAAAAAAAAAGAAAAACAGAAAAACCTAATGTCTTCCCCTCCATCCCAGTTTCCAGGCGAAAAGAATTGGCTGCAATTTTCGGTTATGTAATCCTGCTGATTAATAACACTTAGCGGTCTCCAGAGCACACACAGAAAATTAGAAGTGCCTCTCTGACCCCCCGGGAAAGATGTAGAGTACCTCCGTTATGTTGTATGTGGCTGCAGAGATTGGGAGGACCCCCCCCCCAAAAAAAAAAAAAGAAGAAAAATTCCGGAAAATCAAACTACTTGTAAAATTTTGATAATTATCATAAGGATGATAAATAGTAGTGATAATGATAAAACTAATACTCATAACAGTTATAATAATTATAATCATTATAATAATAGTAATAATAATGATAATGATTATAGTAATAGTGATGATAAGCTAATAATGATAATAATTAAACTGATGATAATGATAATAATAATAGTAGTAGTAATAGTAATAGCACTGGTAATGATAGTGATCACAATAATGATAATGATAATGATAACGATAACAACCACAATGATAACAGTAATAAATATAATAATATTAATAACAATAATGATAGTGATGATAATGATAATGATAATAATACTAATAATAATTAATACAGTGATGATAATAATGATGATAATATAATAATAGTAACAATAATATTAGTGATAATAATAATAAAAATTATATTAATGATTATGATAACTTAGTAAGGATAATTATGATACTGATAATAGTAAAGACAATTAATGACAATAATTGAAAATTACAAGCGCCTAAATTACTGAATAAACCAAATCATCGCAGGTATAAATATGCACATGAATAAATAATAGACATAGAATAAAGAATGAAAAAAAACAAGCTAAACAATTTGAATTTAAATATTAACGACTTCTAACTCGGCTGTTCACGTTAAGCACTTGCTATTTGCGTTCATGCACTTCCTCGTAGATATTGTCATTAAGCAATCATTGTCCGTAAAAAAAGAAAGAAAGAAAGAAAAAAAAACGTTTAAATCTCACATTTGACGCTGATTGGCTTACCGGTTGGGCTACTCGGTACGTGATTGGTCCACGGTCGAGAGGACGATTAGAAAAAGAGTATTTTGAAATATGTTAGATTAAGGTAGTTAGTTTGTTATTATTTGTCGTTTTTTCATTTGTGTTTCTTGATTTCCATTTTCTGCTTTTGTTGTTATTTTTAGATAATATAATGATGGCTATTGTAGTTGTTTCTGACTGAGGATTTTTTTTTCAGTTTGGGAAAACATGACCGGGATTAGCGTGGAATATTCCAACGGGCTAAAGCGTTTGCAATGCATTATAAATATGTGTTGGCGGATCGGGACATATAAGTAATCAAAATGACAGAAGCTTTTAATTTAATGCCAGTGTCTAAATGCGGCTTACTTCAGTAACACATGCACACACACGTTCGCACGCACGCACGCACGCACGCACACACACACACACACACACACACACACACACACACACACACACACACACACACACACACACACACACACGCACACACACACACACACACACACACACACACACACACACACACACACAGACACACACACACACACGCACACACACACACACACACACACACACACACACACACACACACACACACACACACACACACACACACACACACACACACACACACACGCAAGCACGCACGCACACAGATAATCACCTAAAAAACATACATACCCCGTCTTCCGTGAACGCAGAAAGCCATGAATTCAAAGGCACTTCCATTAAAGAACCAACATTAAAGAAAACCAAATACATACGACTACATTCCTCATGGCACTCTAATAATTCTCCCAAAATGCAATTCGATAATAAATTCTTAACAAGGTTCCACAAAATGATACATGGATTATACGAGTGAATTATTTGTGACTGCATAGTCCCTGCTTTTTCTTTTTTTTTTCTTTTCTTTTCTTTTTTTTAAGGCTTATTCACATCAAAAGATTAGTCGGTTCTGCTCAGCTGTGCGTAAACCGTCTCTTCGGAATGTCTGTCACAAGAAGTTTCCCAAACACCTTTCGAGAAGCCACTAAGCGTGTTTGATCTCAAGTACTTCGCTTTTGTCATTTCGCTTTTCTGAATGTTTAGTCAGAATGCGAGACTAATTCCTAAAACGTTTTTTTTTTTTTCCTTTTGCGTTATGCTAATTTTACATCCTATTCCCAGATACGCTGTTTGCATTTCTCTATTGGTAAAAAAAAATTAAAAAAAAAAAACGGAAACGTATTGTGATATCTGAATATCTCTGAAATATATTATACATCTTTCTCTGATTTTAATGTTGTTAAGGTTGTATTGTTATATCATCATCCTATTGTGTATTTTTACTTGCATTTTTTTTATTTGTTACCAATAAAGAAAAAAAGAGATTAATTTTGCTTTCAGCATCAAAGCTAATGTAAAGAGCAATGTTTGTTATTGCTCCAAAGCCTTCTCTTCCCAGCGTGACACACACACACACACACACACACACACACACGCGCACACACACACACACACATACACACACGCACACACACACACACACACACACACACACACACACACACACACACACACACACACACACACACACACACACACACACACGCGCACACACACACACACACATACACACACGCACACACACACACACACACACACACACACACACACACACACACACACACACACACACACACACACACACACACACACACACAGACGCACACACACGCACACACACACACACACACCCTTGGAACGTGCTAATATATTTCAGACGACCGTGTCCCTCGCGTGTTAACGAAAGGGGACATCTATCCTTCTCTCCTTAGGGGTGATCAGCAGCTCTCGAACCCTAGAATCACACGTCGTCTCCTTCGCAAATGGTGGACTCTATATTATCTGGAGTGTCTTGGCCTTCATTCGGGTGTTTGTTCTTGCCCAGATTAATTATCGTTTTGTTGTTGTTGTTGTTTCTTTACGTTTTTACTTGAGGGATTTTTTTTTTATCTCTTCATCCCTTCACTGTGTTCGCATTCAGTTTTGCGTCTGAACTCCTTTATCCCTTTCCTCGTCTATTTCTTTCTTTTTCTCAATCTCCACTTCCCCCTCCTTTCCCTTACTCTTTCCCTTATTCCTCTGTCATATTCCTTCCTCTATCCTCTTCTAAATCTTTTCTATCTCCCTTCTCACTGTTCCTCCTAACCCTTCTTCACTCCTCCCCCCCTCCCGGCGGCCATCCATCCCTTCCTTCTGTCTCTTCCTTCTATCCACTGCCATTATCTTCCTTCCCTCTTTCGTCCTCTTTCTTCACCTTTTCGCCCCCACCTTTCCTCTCACTTCTTTATTCTCCTTCCTTTCCTCTCTCCCTTCATCCCTACCTCGTTCTTCAAGTCTCTTCTTCCTTTCCCCCTTTTCCTTCTCCTTCCTTCTCTATCCTCCCATCTTTTCCTACCTTCCCTTCCTTCTCTTTTCTCATCTTCTCTTTCCTTCTTTTCCTACCTTCCCTTCCCTCCTCCTCTAATACCCCCTTCCTAACTCTCACTTCCCTTCTTTCCCTCCTACACTCCTTTCCTTTCATCCTTCTCTACCCTCCCTTCCTCACACCTAATCTAATATCCCTTTTCTCGCTCTCCTTTCCTACCCTCCCTACTCTGCATTTCCTCTTCTCCTACCATCTCTTCTCTCCTCCTCCACCACCCACCCTCCTCTCCTACCCTCCCTTCCCTCCTTCTTCGCCACCCACCCTCCTCTCCTCTCTTCTATTCTTGACTAACAACTCTTCTACCACCTACCCTCCACT